AAAGAAAGAAAGGAGAGAGAGAGAGAGAGAGAGAGAGAGAGAGAGAGAGAGAGAGAGAGAGAGGAGGGCAAGCCACCATGCACCAGTTTGGTACCCAAGGTCACACCCAACCTGGTTCAGCCTCTCATAAGCCATTGGCTAAAGGAGGTTCCCCATCACTCATATGTGTGTGTCTCTCTGTGTATGTGTACATATGTGTGATTGTGACTCTGTGTGTCTGAGTGTGTGTATGTATGTGTAGGTGCATAAACATGTCTTTGTGTGTGTGTGTGTGTGTGTGTGTACGTGTATCTACGTATGGGTGTGTTAGCGTTTCTGCATGTGAATCTTTGTGTGAATGAATGTGTGATTCTGTGCATGTATGTGTGTAAGTATGTGTGTGTGCATTAGTGTCTCTGTGTGAGTGTGTCTCTGTGTGAATGAATGTGTGTGTTTGTGTGCATGTATGTGCGGTTAATTTTTAATATATACATATATTTTAACATTTATTCTTTGAGAATTTCATGTACATATATAATTCTTTCAATTCCACTCCAACTCCTCCCAGATCACCCCCACCTCTTAAATTCACTTTTTAAAAATAACACACTGAGTCTAATTTGTGTTGGGTGCAGGGTCACCTACTGGAACATGTGGCCACATCTCCAAAGAAGACTAACTTTCCTTCTCTTAGCAGCCATCAACCATCATAGCTGCTTAGCTGTGGATGGGGGCTGGCCCATCCCTGAGCCATTCATGAACAGCCTCAACTTTCAGGTTAACCCTGCCAATCTCTGACCTCTTAGCTTCATTTAGAGAATGTTCTTTTGCACTGAATGCCCCGTTTTTCCACTTAGCAGAACTCTGCAGCTCACCCAACATGTAGGGAGTGGAGAAGATAGGGCTATCACAGACCCTGGACTCTTGACAAATCAGACAGTGTACACCGTGCCCGCATTTCACACAGTAGCTTTTCTTAGTTCAGATCTTTATAAAGTTTTCAAAGGAGCGATAGGACAAGCTAGTCTTTGGAGGTGTGAAAAGGCTCAGAGGAAGCCTGAGGAGAAGATGCAGCCTTGCCCAGACTGCAAATTGAACAACTGAGTGTTGGTGTATTTACGTCATTTAAGAAAGGTGCTGAACTTTTTCTCCCTGGGCACTAATCCCCCATGGGGCCCCCGGAGTGCGCCTTTTGTTGTACAGGAAGCGGAGCTTCTGTGAGCGGATCCAAAGGGACTTACTGTTCCATCTGTTGAGATCTCTGCTGGTTTGCTTTACAGACCCCGGTGGTGTGCGGACAGCATGGCCTTAAACCACACTGCCCCACCCCAGGACGAGCACCTGCCACACTATCTTCGAGATGAGGACCCCTTTGCTTCCAAACTTTCCTGGGAAGCGGATTTAGTGGCTGGCTTTTACCTAACAATCATCGGTAAGCTTCCATAAGGCTTCTGTGTCAGAGGCTGCATTGAGAGAAGTCACAGGCTGGGCTGATTTTGCACAAACAGTTCGGATACTTACATGGGGATTGGTGGAGGTGGGGAAAGGTGGGTAGGCATTACGGCAGTCAATCAATATTTCATAAAAACAACTGTTACTGTCATTAGGGAATAAATATTCCATTGATAATCCAAAGACCTTTCACAGTGAATTCTTTATCTCGAGATTGTTTCATTTTGGTTGCTGAACTAGCAGGTTTGCTTTGTGAATATTAAAAGAGTGATAATAAATATATTTCTGTCCTGAAAGAATGACCATTTGCTGGCCAAGTGCTTCAGCTTCTTCCTCTCACAACCCAGGAAACTGTGGCCCTGTACAGCAGTGCCAGTAGGCACTGCCTTAGATTCTGCACCTTATCGACACTGTTAAGACAAAAATTACATCGATGATCAATGGAAACCAGTCTAGGGTGACAAGATTCTGGTGTATAACTCACACAGGGTTGCCTCTGTCTAACGTTAAACTGTATTACCATCCAGCAACCACCCGTGGCTACTGGGCACACAAACAGTTATCTTTCAAATGAGCACACCGTAGTGAAAATGCGTGCCTCCTATTGGAGGCTTAGTACCGGGAAAGCAATGCACAAATATGTGAAACATGAAGAACCTGTTGAACTCATAATTTCTGGGTTAGGTTAAGTATTAAAGTGTCGAAACTAATTTGTTTATGTGCTTTTCTGTTGCTTAATGTGGCTACCAGAAAACAATGAAAGTATATGTGTAGCTCTTCTTTCTGGTTTATATTATATTTATATTGGATTGTGCTAATGCAGAAAATAAAGATTTGGAACTTTTGGCTGGGCATGGTGGCACATATCTTTAATGCCGGCATCTGGGAAGCACAGGCAGGCAGATCTCCGTGAGGCTGAGGCCAATCTGGTCTACATAGCGCAGGCCAGCCAGAGCTGCAAAGTGATACCCTGGTTTTTAAAAGAAGTATTTACAACATTTATTTAATGTAAAGTTGCTACATTAAGTTTGGGCATGCGGTGAGCTTCCATCTTTAGGATTATATTTAATATTTTCAGGTGTTGGTTCAAGCCTGGTTTCTCAACCTCTCTTTCTCTCTCTCTCCTCTCTCTGTTCCTTCCACTGCCCCTCCCTCCCCTCTTCTCTCCCTTCTCTCATCTGTCTATGACTGGCGAAGAATTTCATGTAATTCCTGAAATTCGAAAACTCATTAGAAAGCTCTCAAGATCCCTCTATGGTCAGTGCTTGAGGCAGAAAGAATTCGTGATATTAAAAAAGAAATGCTCTATTGCAAAATAATTCCCAGGGTCCTTGTACTTACTGTGAGCATTTGGCTACTTTTCGTTTAAATTTGTCCTTTCAAACACAAACATATGAAGTACCTACTCTTTGCTACCCATAAGTGGCTGGGAACAGAGCAGTCACTAAAAGCCCTTTGCTTTAATACATACTCCCCCAGAGTAAACTCCGCATCATGTTTTTATTAAACTCGGTGATTGGAAAGGCAGACGAGCAAGCACTTCCTAATCTCAGTCAGTTGCAAGCAATGACTTGAAACTAGTGCCTTTAACCAGACAAATGGCTCTAGGCAGTGTAGCAGTGGGAGGGCTATTAGCCCATTCTTCCTAGGTTGAAGGATTTTTAGCAGGAAAGTTCAATAGTGTCAGTGGGACAATGAGAGACGTTCTCACTTTATGCATGTTGGACTTAAGGGAATCAAAGTCAGATTTAAGTTATGGAGTCGAGCTTAGAAATTGGGTGTTGAATGAAGAGTTCCCAAGCAAAGGGGGTGTCAGGTGAATCAGGGAGGGAAACTGAAGTCCTAGACAATCATCTGGGATGAGGGGAGAAGGGTAGGTTTGGATGACGATGAAGGGTCTGGGACTCTTTCTAGACCCATGTCATGGGCTTGACTCCAAGTCTAGTCACCACATGTCTAGGTCCTTTTTAAGGAGCTAGAGCAGACAGGGCAACATTCTGGTTAAATACTAGGGATCTTAGGGGAAGTTGGAGAATGGAAATAGAAGCGCAAGTCTGGCATGCAGGAGAAATAAACGTGAGACCCGTTTTCCACTCCCCACTTTTCCACATCAACATCCGCCTGATTAACTGCTTGTAGAGGAAGGCTGCAAAGGATACAGGATTTTGATGATTAAAAAAAAAATAACAAATTAAAAAAAAAGACCGCCTCATAGTCTCCATTATCTTAATCTTGTTTTCCTTATTGTTAAAAATAGATCAATTTCTCTCAAAGTTCATTTGCAGACAAGGTTGCTTGTGGAAACAATGGAACATGGCACTTAATAGAATCTTTATTTTTTAAATCATGATGGGCACTGGGTGAAACCCTATCAAATAGGGTTAAGTAAAAACACAAGGAAACACAGTAAGAAATATTCTCAAGAGATGCTGGCAGGCAAACGAGTGTCAAACAAGCCTTTTAAATTGACTGCGTGTGAATACTTAACTATTTTTTTTTTTACTCTTTTTGGATATGAAATGGATGGAATTTATTTTATTATTTTTGAGCTCCATTTTTGTATTTTCCTTTCCCAGTGTGCCTTGCTAGATGGTTTCTTATTAGGAGACAGGCATTGCCTTTTATCTGCCTTGCTTTAGGACTGTACAATTTCTTCAATTTTTCTTCCCTTTTGCTTTAAGAAAGCTAAAGAGGCTTTCATGGTCCATTAAGCATCTTTGACTCCAGAGAGTCAGTATCTCCTAGAAGCACAAAGCAGTCAGGTCCTGGTGGTTTCGTGCCATCAGCAGAGACACACATTTTTTTTTCTTGCCCCCAAATGAATTGTGGTGGAGAAATTAAAATAGAAATTAAAGTAGACAACTCTGGGTCTCTCCTTTAATGCTTTCCTTATTCCTTACTACTGAAGGCAGCTGTACCAGAGTCTCATTTATACACAACCACACTATGAAGCAAGAATTCCTGAGGAAATCTACTCTACATGTTAAGCTATGGAAGTAGGTGTATTCTTTTCTTAAATACAGTCAGTAGATAATGGGTCTTTTTTGTGTTTTGGATTTTAACTGGGTTTGTAAGAACTTTTGAACAGTTGCATTGTACTACCCAAACCAGCTTGTCATTAATGAGAGAGTATTCAAACTTGGGAACACATGTATGTTGTCGTTGTTGTTAGGTCTGGTGGGTTGAGGGTCTCTTTCTCTCCCCTTGGTGGGAGGGGGAGTGCCCATACTGTCAGCTGTTACCCACTTACCCTTGACACATAGTCCAGCGATAGCTGAAGGCACCCCAAGTTCCAGATACCACCTCAGGAGTCTAAGTCCTCGGGCTTGTGTCCAGGAGACGACCCCTTCCTTGCCGGGGTTCACAACAGCCACCTCTGACCTTTCTCGCAAGCTGGTGCTCCTATGGGAGCTCACAGTGGCACGGAAGTCACCCCCTTGGGTTGACTTTACCTTCAAGACTTATAAACAGTTAAGGGGTTGATCCCACTTCTCCAAGGGAGGGGATCTTACAAAGCCAATACTTTATAAAAATGGCCGAGGAAAGCACTCTGCCCTGGGGGCCAGTACAAGAACTGACCATTGGGATCCCCGCATCCTCCTGAGCCTAACCGGGGAGTTAGCAGTTCCATTGTCTGGGTAAGTTCAGTCCTGCAATCCCTGACTCTTATTCCTTTCGAGGCAACCCATCCCTTGCCTGTCACTCACAATTCATACTTTTTTTATTTCATCTTCTTAATTTAGATTTTTATTTAGTGGCCTCTCATTACCCTCTGAATCTGTGGTGTCCATTTTTGAAATTGAGAAGTGTGTTATATGCAAGGGAGTGCTAAGCCTCATTCTAATGACGGGAAACTTTGTTTTTCTTTGTAGGGATTCTCTCGGCATTTGGAAATGGGTATGTCCTTTATATGTCTTCTAGACGCAAGAAGAAACTGAGACCTGCTGAAATAATGACTATCAATTTAGCAGTCTGTGATCTGGGGATATCAGGTAACACGGCCACACTGCTCCTTCTTTGTGGGTGTAAAATATCAGTCAGTCTAAATTACTCACTGGCTCAGAGCTCACTCTTCTCACACCTACTTCTTTTTTCCCTTTCCAAAGCACATTTGCAGTCTTTGCAGGCAGCCAATGAAATGTCTGCTAAAGAGATCGTTTAACATCTATTAATTCTGGTCAGGCATGGGACCTTTGTCCACTCCTCGCTCTCAACCTGGTCCCTCTTCTGAAGCTATTTTTCAACTGATAACCAGGCGAGAAAGGAAAAAAAAAAACCAACAAAAACGTTTTTCTTCAGTGGAGTGTCCTTCAACCATGAGTAGTTAGCCAGTGCAAAAAGAAACTCCATGGTTTTTGATAGGCTTTTTGTTTAGGCATTTTTTTTATTGTTTGTTTGATTTTCATCTCCCTTCTTTACTTTCTTTTTTCCTCTCCTCCTCCTTTTCTTCTTTCTTTTTGTCTTTATTCCTGTCTTTCTGTCATTTGTTTACTTGTTTCTTTTTAGAGACAGAACATGAAGTTGGGTATGTAGGAATGTAGCAAGGTTCTGGGAGGAGTTAGAGGGGAAAACATGATCAAATATATTGTATAAAAATAAAAACAAAAAATTCTTTTCTTCCTTCTTTCCTTCCTTCCCTTCCTTCCTTCCTTCCTTTCTTCCTTCTTTTCTTCCTTCCCTTCCTCCTTCCTTTCTTCCTCATTTCTTTCTTTATGCCCCCTTCCTTTTGAGGAAAGGTCTCCTGTAACCTAGGCTGTCCCCTGAAGTGCTGTGTAGACGAGGAGGAGTTACCCTCCATCCTTTTGTCTTCCACCTGAGTGTTAGAGTCACCGGCACATGGCACTATGCCTAGAATTTTGTTGTTGTTGCTAAATATGTTCTTTCTTCCTTATTTATTTTTCTCTGCACATATATTTGTGTGGATTTGCATTTTTACATATATGAACAGATTTGTAAGATTACACATTCATGTGTATGTGTGTGCGCAAGCATATTTATATGTGTGTGGGCGGGCGCATGCTTGTGTGGTGCTCAAGCAAGAGTGTGTGTGTGCATGTGTGTGTGTGTGTGTGTGTGTGTGTGTGTAGGTCAGAAGCCGACGTCAGTGTTTTCCTCAATCCTTCCCTACCTTTGGTACTGAGGCAGGGTTTCTCACTTGGACTCATAACTTTCCAATTCGCTTTTCTAGCTAGTCGGCTTGCTTTAGGGAATTCGCTATCCTTGCCTCCCATGGGCTGGCCACCCAGTGTTTACATGGGTGCTGAGGATCTGAACTCTGGTCTTCACGCCTATATGACAAGCACTCTACACATGGAGCCAGTTCCCAAGCCCGTTGTTGCATTCTTGCCATGCCCAGGCATGCTAAGTGTTAAGGATAAAATTTTGAACACATGGTACCATACATATACCAGAGTGTACCGGACTACAGACCCTATCTAACAGTCCACTGCTTTACACTCCATGGCTGCTTTCCACTCTCAGGGAAAACCGGAAGAGGACAGTATCTTGAAGGGAAAACACCAGGCAAAGACAGCAACAGGTCACTATAAGAGGAGCGGAAAACTACTGGACCAGCGGTAATCTTAATTGTAATTTAAGGACTGGTCACAAGCTTCTGCTTCCATGGTCCTTAAAGCTGGCTGCACAAACATCATTCCTGGGGGGTGGGGTATTTAAAAGTTTGCCTATCGGGAGTTTACTTCCAGTGGTTGAGGGGCTCAGAGGGTGAAGTGATTGCTATTCAAGCATGAAGTCCTGAGTTTGGATCCTCAGCATCCACGGCTGTGACAGAGCCATAATCCCAGCATGGGGAAGCGGAGACAGGAACACCCAGGAGCTTCGACTCCAACTTCTGAAAGATCCTGGTCCCCCAAATAAGCTGGTAGAGGAAGACACCAACATTGACATTTGGTCTACATGCATGTCTAAACAAATGTGTGTCCCTGCACACACACCACACACGCAGAGATACAGACATACATCACCCCATATACGCATATTCATGCACTCTAGACAAGTTTCTATATGGAAAAAATTGAAAACTGGATTTCCCCCCACTTCTTAGACTTTTCAGATAATTCATCAGATAGAACCTGTGATATTTTTAAACTATAATTCATTTAAGGAAGAATAATTCTGCATGTGTCCCCTTGTCATCCCTTCTACAGAGTTCCAGGGTTGCCTAGCTGTACCCTAACCTTTATTGGGATTCAAACATCCGTTAACCAGCTGTGGTTTCAGACTGTTAGTGAAGTGTTTGAAGTGTTTGTTTTTACATGGTAATGTGTATACTCAACAGAAGAGGAATGCATTACCATATCCCTTTCTGTGTGAACCCTGAGTTTTGGGAGGCTGCAAAGTGACTGTCATTTTGTCCATGGCCACGCGATGGCGCTAGAGCAGCAGAAATGGTCTGGTTTTTCTCCATCTGCTTGCTTAAGGCTTCCTTCCTTCCTGGTTCTGAGAGTAAAATGTCTGTCCTAGTGAACTCTGCCATTTCAGCTACATCCTTCCCCAGCGAGTAATACCTGACTGTTGCTGAAGGCTGACGTGGATCGGGCTCTAATTAAAACACACTCTTAGTTGGTCTGATCCACTGAAACTGTTCTCAGCCTTGCCTGTCTGCTCTGAGTTCACAGAAACTGCCTTCTTCCTGCCCCTGTAAATGTTCTTACGGGAATCCAGCAGAAGGTGTTTTCTTTCACCTAATTTTTCTCTGGTTAATGTAGGTCATGGCGAGTGTCTGTAATACACCTTCTTCCAATACATCCTAAGAAATGTTTTTTTTCTTTACCCGGCTGCCTTCCATTCTAAACACCGAAGAAGCACATTCTAGAATCAGACAGGCTGCATATATGCAACTTATTGCCGGTTGTCTTGGGCACAAAAGGCTCTTACTAAAGAACACGCAAGAGCGTGAGGTGGGGAGGCGGAGAGAGGAAACCGCTGCCTGAGTTCCCTTCAGACACAGGGTAGCAACTGAGCCAGGGGTTTGAAATCCTGGACATTGACAGTGAAGGCAAAGCAAAGCAAAGCAAAACGCCGTGGAAACATAACAGCCATGGTGTTTCTGACAGCAGCCAGGCTGAGGAGTGTTCTTCTCTGTGGCAGAGACAGACAGACAGACACTCAGGCAGACAGACACTCAGGCAGACACATACACACAGATAGACGGATGGAGAGATTCTCGTGGAAGATGACCTTTCCAACAAGAGACATCAAAGGCTCCCTCCACTCCAGGCTGCCCACAGAGTCTAGCCCTTGGGAGGTGAAGACAAGAGGATCAGGATTTCAGGGTTATCCTGTATCTTTAGCTACAGAATACATTTGAGCCGAGGCTGGGCTACATGAGGCCCTGTCTTAAAACCAACCAACCAATCAGCACACACACACACACACACACACACACACACACACACACACACACACACACCCCAAGCCAAATAAAAACTCTATGCTGGATGGAGACCTAGCACCTATACTAGTTTTGGTCTGTAGATCAGGGTTTGTCTTTTCTGCTGTTTTGGCCTCCACACAAGGGGTTCTCCACAGGTTTGGAGTCCACTGTTTTCTCTGCCCGAAGAGTTCAGTTCACTGATTCCGACTCTCCCTAAATGTCTCTCCCTTATGTAAAACACCGATTCCTGTCTGTCTCTGAACTCTACCTTTCTTCACCCCACTAATTCCTATTTATCATTCTGTCATGCGTCCTCCCTGCTCACTGGGCCTGGCTGTAAACACATCGACCCTTGTATTTACAATAGCCATCGTGTGTTTGAACTTTACATTTACTGAAATGTCTCTCTCATACTTGAATGAGCGATAACTTCACATAGCAAAGGAGACAAAGAATGAACAGAGAAGGAAAAATTGCAAGAGAACATGGAAATGAAAGAGCTTAAAGGAGTGATTGCTGAACAATTTGTATTAGTTTTTTTTTTTTTTAAGAAATAGTATCCAAAATAATGAGGGTTTTTTTTTTGCAGAATTGTCTTCAGATTTTTCATTGATTCTCTTCCCCATTTCCTTTTCCTTTCCTCTTTCTCCTCACCCCTACCCATCTACCCATTCCTCTTGCTTCCCTTCCTAACTAGTCCCTCTGTGTTCCTAAACAATTTCAAACATCAAATGATGTTGTAAAATAGCCATAAATAAGAAAATATTTTTTTTTCTGATTGAAAAGAAGTCAGGCCCTCCTTGTTCAGTCTCCCGTCATGCACACAGTCATTCATGCACAGATGGTGCACCCTTGCACACGCCCATGCATACATGCACAGACATATGTGTGCTATCCGAGAAGCCTGAGGGAGGAACATTTGAAATTGCTGTAGTGGTAAAGTTCCTTTCAATCCCAAGGCTCTTTCTATTTTTCATGCCCTTGAATCCTTTTGTTTCCCTGGAGATATCTGAATTTCTGTTTTATATTCATTGATAAGAACCACAGAGAATAGTATAACAAATATATCTCTATCTCTCTATCTCTATCTCTCTATCTCTATCTATCTATCTATCTATCTATCTATCTATCTATCTATCTATTCATCTATCTATCTGTCTATCTATCGATCTATCTATTTCTATCTATCTATCTATTTCTATCTATCTATTTCTATCTATCTATCTATCTATCTATCTATCTATCTATCTATCTATCTATCTCTATCTATTTATCTGTCTATCTGTCTATCTATCTATCTATCTATATCAGTTAATCATATATATATACACACACATACACACACGCATATGGTAAATAAATTCAAAACTGAGAAAATATGTGTGAGGCTAACACCTCTGTGGCCTATCATTCTCCAGTTCTGTATTCAAAGTATGTAATGCCCATGGTTTCTCAAAATAGGTCTTTCCCCATTATCTTAGTTAGGGTTTCTATTACTGCTAAGAGACATCATGACTACGACTACTTTTATAAAGAAAAACATTTAATTGGGGCTGGCTTACAGTTTCAGAGATTTAGTCCATCATTATCCTGGTGGGACAAGGCAGTGTGCAGGTGGACATGGTGCTGAAGAAGAGCTGAGAGTTCTACGTCTTGATTCATAGGCAACAGGAAGTGAACTGTCACACTAGGTGTGGCTTGGGCATATGAGACCTCGAAGCCTGCCTCCACAATGGCACACTTCCTCCAACAAGTTCACACATACTCCAACAAGGCTTTGCCTCCTAATAGTGCCACTCCCTATGGGCTAAACCTTTAAACACATGAGTCTGTGGGGACCATACTTACTTAAACCACCATACCCAGACATAACCTTCCCCTTACCTCTCCCAAGTCCTCCTTTTCAGGGCTTAATTCTGAGTGTAAGAAGTTATATCTGGTATTAGAAACTATGTTCACTCTCTCACTGCAGGAACAATTGTACCAAAAGTTTCAATGGGAACAAAAAACTCACAATCAGTGCATAAAAATTCATGGGAGGTGACATTGCAAAGCTTTTTTAAACAAGATGTATTTCTGATTAACAATCCTTAACAATCTAGTATGACAAAGAAAGACTTTGATTTAATAATGAAAGATTTTATTTTTTATTTTTTATTTTTTTTTTAGTAAATTTTATTAAATTATAAAAGTTTCCATTTGTTTCCATTTCCACCCCCCCTCCCAACACCCTCCCACTCCCCCTACTCCCCCTCCTCCTCCCTCTTCGTCCCCCAGGGCAGTCAGGGTTTCCTGCCCTGTGGGAAGTTCCAGTTCCTTCCCCCTCCCTCCAGGTCCAGGAAGGTGAGTGTCCAAACAGATTTTAATAATGAAAGATTTAAGACTTCTTTCCTTCCTTCCTTCCTTCCTTCCTTCCTTCCTTCCTTCCTTCCTTCTTTCTTCTAAGTCAAGGTCTCATGTGGTTCAGGATGGCAGCGAACTCACTATGTAGTAGAGTTTAACTTCTTGAACTCCTAATTCTCTAACTTTACTTCCTGAGTGCTACAGTTACAGGGATGTCACAATGTCCGATTTGTGTGCACTGCACATTGAGCCAGGTCCTTGTACAACAGGCAAACACTCACTCCAACACCAACCCAAACCATTACAAATATTTATTTTAAAATTTGTCAATACATGGATGTCTATTATGATTACTTCCATTTAACAGTATTCTGTAAATCTTTGACTTTGCACAAAGAAAGAAATAGATTACTTCTAGTTAACATTACTCTGTAAATCTGTGACATTGCATAGATCTTTGACGTAACACAATAAATAGAAATCAAGTAAATTCAAACCTCTAATTCTTTGCCATTCATGAAACTACACAGCGGAGTTATTGGAAGCCTTGGAAAGCCAGTGTATTGCACACAAAGTTTAGAATTCCATTCATTTAAATATTTCTTGATCTAAGTGTTGTCTTTTTTATTACTGAAAACAGATTATTTTCTCACACAACGCCTCGTGATTGCAGTTTCCCCTTTCTCGAGTTCTCTCTCACCTCCCTTTTCCTCCGGATCCACCTCCTCTCTACCTGCTTTCAAATAACGGCGGGCCTCCAAGAGAAAACACCCAAATATGATAAAGCAAAACACAAGACAATGCAAAAGCCCTTATACTAAGGCTGGACAAGAAAACGCAACAGGAGAAAAAGTCTCAAGACCAGACAAAGGAGTCTTATTTGAGTTTTTCCCCCTACTTAGATGAGGCATACTTCATAATCTCCGGAGTAGCTGGTCACAGCAGCAGGGGTCCATAATCAATATATTTGGGTGCAAATATTTTCTGAACTGGAAGTTTGTAAACATTTTGAATTTTTATCATCAAAGACTAGTAGGTATCATTTCTTGGGCTATTGTTTGACTGGCTGAGTATGGCTGTTTTGGAGGCCATGTTATGAGTCCGCCAATAAGGTTGGTGCATTGAATGGAACCCTGAAGGCACTGTAAGATGCTCGCTCTTCCAAGCACTTGTTGAACACTCAAGCTTGAGCATCTAGTTTTGGATGGGAGAAAAACAATGAAGACTTGGGCAATCAAGAAGGGAAACTAGTTTAGAAAAACTGTGCTTTATGAGAAATTTTCTCTAAAACATTTTAAGGTAAATAGAGTGTCCTTCTTGCTCAGTTTTTAAATTAACCACCTTAATAAAAAATTAAAAGTGACCACGTTGCTGTCATGGCCCTCTGGAGTCTCATCTCTTGTGACCCCTGAGGTGGAGTCTCTGCAACGGTTATGATAGTAAGCAAAGTAATTAAGACTTTAAAAAAGTCCTTTGGCCATTGGGGAGGAATGAAAACTTTTCAGAGTTGTTTCAAACTTGGTTCATGAAAAAAATGACTTCTTTTTGGAAAATAGTTGAAAGGTGTTTTCAAAAGGTCTTATTAGCACATCTTAATGTAATGTGACGCTTTCATATGTGAACGTAATATACTTTTACAATATTCACTTTTCCATGACCCTCCCTCCTTCCTGCGTCTTTCTCACTTGTCCCGTATCCCTCCTCTAATAGCCTCTCATCTACTTCCGTGTCTATTGTGTGTGTGTGTTGCAGTGACTTTCTTTAAGATTGCTTACAGAAGCATGGGCACCCTGCCAGGGCACAGCACTGAAGGACGTCCCTTTCCCTTCCTCAGAAACCACTAAGGAGCTATCATCTTCAGGGAGTGTCCCTTCCCTTCCTTCTATGAGAGGGTGTTGACAGACCTGATATAGTGTAGTCCTGCTCTTGTACAGGTAGTCGCTGTGAGCTCAGGAGTGTGACAGGCTTGTCACAATGTCAGCATTTAATAGCGCTCCCCCATCCCTTTCCGTGGCTCTTTCTGCTCTGTGTTGTTCTGAGATAGAGATAGATAGATAGATAGATAGATAGATAGATAGATAGATAGATAGAGAGGTGATAGCCTGACATTCAACACTCATTTATTCTCAACCCTTTTGCCAGTTGTCCCTGAAGTCACTACTGTTAACTGCAGAATGACATTGGTCTGGCCAGCACGGACAGTGGCATTGTAGTCTATGGGCAGCAACAGTTACTTAGAAGGCGTCTCATGCCTCTCTAGCAGGGCACCCGCAGGAGCTTCTCCGCATTGTCCAGGACTTCCTAAGCCATCAGCTTGTTTACTGAGTTTACAGTTTCAGATGTGAACTCTCCTTTTGAGGCCGGCTTCAGACTGAATCAGAAAACAGTTGGCTACTCCTACAACAGTTGCGACATTATTCATTATTGCACAGGTAGACTCAGTATTATTGAACATATCCTCTACAGCTGAGCAAGATTGCTCAGAACCATTGTCTCCCTGCCGACTTCAGGGCACCTTCAAGCACTGTAAAGACTACCCAGTGTGGAGAAAACTTTCAGCCCCGTTCCAACTTGATCACTTTATGTCTGTGACCAAGACCTGTTGCGCCTTCAACAAGAGGGTTTTATCATTGAGTTGTGGTGGGCCTGTCAGAATCTTATTAATCTATCAGTTCTGTGAAGTGTGTATGTGTGTGTGTACATGTGCGTACTCACATCTTGAAATGTGTCTGTGGGGAGGAAGGGGCAGCTTAGTCAGCTGAGCAAGTGGAGAGGTTTCAGTGACGAGGAGCTTCCTCTGACGCCCGCTTGCTGCTCTAGTTGTAGGCAAGCCGTTCACCATCATCTCTTGCTTCTGCCACCGCTGGGTGTTTGGCTGGTTTGGCTGCCGCTGGTATGGATGGGCCGGATTTTTCTTTGGCTGTGGAAGCCTTATTACCATGACTGCCGTTAGCCTGGACCGATATTTGAAGATCTGCTATCTCTCTTATGGTAAGTTGGAAGGTTCCTTGTTCCCTGATAGTGAAAGTTAGATGGTTTGAGTGTTAGAGCTGTATACACTTTGCACAGTAAATAAATTTATTATTAATAACTTCAGTAACCAAGAATACTTCTACTATTAATAGCTTGCCTTATTCTACTCTATATTTTGATTGGATGGGTATCAATGTATGCTTCCTTTAATACTACTTTTATAATAATCCTTATAGCTTTTAAATATCTCACTTTCTTGTGTAAAGTATGAAAATGCCTACCACATTCCCCATGCAATAAAGAAAAGCAAAAAAAAATGCATAAGCATGATCTGGTCTGGGGTATTTAGCTGATGACCTACTCAGCTTCGCAATTATGAGGAAGGCTGTCTGCGACTCTCCTTTAGGACTCGGACTCCGTGTCTCTTCAGAGACGGGGAGTTTCAGAATGTTCTCCAGGTTTAGAGAGCCACACAGATGTCCCTACCTGAAAGGACACACACACTGAGATGCCGCTCTGCAGATCTGTTCTGGTATTGGTAGGTAGAGGAGTAGCTAACAGGGAGCTGGTGAGGCAGCCGTAATGGAGTCTTCTGAGCCCTGTGTTTTCAAGATTAGACTGTCGTACTAATTTAAGATTTAGAACCTTCAGTATGGGGATTTCTGGGAATTTTCTGAACAAGAAGGAGAAAATTTTGGGGCACTTATTTTTAACATTGAGAATCACACCTACTCAGGAAGTGGTTCTGATTTCCTCCGCATAAAGCTGTTTGGCTGACAACCAGTTAGGTAGAGTGGGCAAGGCCAGAGGGCAGAGTATAGTCAGCAGACAGATGTGGAAGGGAAAGGTTTCTTTGGTTCCTAAACAGTTTATAGTACCAAGACTCTAAGGGAGACTACGGCAGGAGAATGCTGTTGTAAATGTCTTCATGATTCAAAACTCATTAAAAATTGCATCTCTTTTTGTAAACACCTGAAGCTTCCAGTAGAAACAGCCCAAGTCAAAATTTCCAATAAGGTTAAAATGTAAAATTATGCAGTTTGAATGACATCAGAGTCTAACTCTTACCATAATCATAATCTTTTTTTTTAGCACGACAAACTTATTTTTTAATAAAATTATAGATTTTATAGACAAGAAGACAGAAAGTTCAATTTCCTGGGAGTACTTGAGGAGACTAAACCTTGATCTTTGCTTTAAAATGTCATCTTGAGTTTAAACTTTGTATCAACTAAAAACAGGATGCTATGTTATCCATGATGGCAGGGCAGAAACTGTATGAGAAACGTGTATACCATCTAGATTCCTCTAAGGTTGACCCTCAGTGATATCTCACCATTTTTCTGATTCCCTATTGGAGCCTCCACACAGTGTTCTCTAGCATATTGGAATTTTAAAGGTCACTTGGGGATATGCAGACCTTTCTACCATGTAATGTTGTAAACAGTTATCCCCGAAAGATGACCGTTTGGCCTCTTGCGCAATTCCAGTGACCAGTGACGGGGAGCTTACTCTTGCACAAGGCAGCCCATTCTCTGGTTGGTCTGCTCTCATTGTTACAATGTTATTCCTTATATTGAGACGAAACTGCCTCCCAGTAACCTCCACCCATTGGTCCTAGTTCTGACTGCTGGAGCAACACAGAACCCATCTACTAATCTCCTCCTTCCTGTACTTGACAGCCTTTCTCCATACTGGAACGTAAGTATCAAAGCACCTCACTAAGTAACCCCCACTCTCAACGCTTACCCGTATGCCTCTGTACATCCTTATGAGTATATGTTCATGGTCTCTGCCGGTGTTTGATGCGTTATCGTGGATGATCAAGAGCTGACAAACCTTTGTGGCTACCCGACCGCTACCCTGCTCGGGTTGGGCTTGAGGAAGTTTTGTACTTCGTGGTGTGTAATGGCATGTATTTGAGCAAATGAGACAACCGAGCGTAGCAACAACTGGGTCTATGTTTTTCTTAGTGACAAGACACATGCACACAGGAGTAAATGTTCATGTTCATGTGTATAGCTTGCAAAGCTGACATTATTTCATTTGCTTTAAACTTCATCAAAGCCTATAAGCAAAGACTGGGGAGACAGTTCAGTTGGCGGAGTGCTTGCCTGGCATGCACAGTGCCCCGGGTTCTACCCCCAGCACCATATGTACTAGGCACAGTGGGAATGTACACTTGTGATTCCAGTTCTTAAGAGATGGAGGCAGGAGGATCAGAAGTCCAGGGACCTCCTCAGCTCCACAGCCAGTTTGAGGATAGCCTGGGCTAGAGACTCAGTCTCACCCGAGCAAGCAAACAAAGAAACCAGCAACAAACCCATCAGCACAACGTCCCTTGCTGTTCAGAGCGGTGGGCCTTCAGAAAAGTGACAGGAGACACTACCCTCGGAAGAACTGTGGTCTTAGGGACTCACTCAGATCTCACTCGCTCAGAGCAGAAGCAGACTTGAGTGCGTGCGGAAGGGATCATTTAGCTTTGCTCCACGTGTTTCCGTATTTCTCCCCTGCTACTGTGCACCCGAAGCAGCAAGGAGCCACTCCCCTGGCCCTCCCGCAGTGTGAAAAGGGAGGGCCGGAGAACATTGATGCTGATCTGGCTTTGGTGGCTGTGTTGAACTTGGGGATATGATCGCCAGTCCTTCAACTACTTCTTTTTAACAATTTATATTAAACTACGGCAGCGTTTCTTCCTCTTAGAATTCCCTTTGGGTTAAGAAACTAGTATCCTTATACAGAGCTTGGTCCCCCAACCTTCTTGAAGACGTGTTTTCAGTTACCTTTGCAGCATGTGTGCCTAATCGGATTGTCTGCTGCTCTCCCACCACGGCTGTGTGTGCTTGACTGTCCCATGAATAACATGAAAAAAAAGTCTGCATGAATTTCTAAGCATAGTCGCCCACCTCAGTATCACCGCACAGGGTCAGGACCCACCAACCCCACACAACCAGTTCTTAGGCAAACAAGGGGTGCAGACACACAGAAGGTGTTAGGAATAAGGGTGTGTGAAAGACACAGCCAACCCTTTATGATTTCTCACCTGCTGGGAAGGATTCTCCTTTCAATTTTTGGACCACTTCCTGACATACCCTCGAGCCGTCTTCCCAAGCTCCTCCATTGTCTCCAGCGTCCTCTCCTCCTTTGGCTGTCTGCTCCCCGCTTCCCCGTGTCACTTCTCCCTCCCGAAGCTCCTAGGTGCCTAGAGAAAACTGTCCCCGTGAGTTCTCTTCAAATTGCATCCTCCTGGACAAAGGCTCCAGCTCTGGAACTTTCCCTCCCTTGACTTCGCTCTCCCCCAGGCTCCAATTATCTGTCCACGTCTCCCAGAATTCAGTGGAATAAATCTTTGGAGATGGAATTTGACTTGTCCAGGGGAGGTACACGGGTGTCTGGCAGGTTCCGTGTGGTAATGCTTTTTTTCCCCACCTCCAGGGGTCTGGCTGAAGAGAAAGCATGCTTACATCTGCCTGGCAGTCATCTGGGCATACGCCTCCTTCTGGACCACCATGCCCTTGGTGGGCCTGGGGGACTATGCACCCGAACCCTTCGGAACCTCGTGCACCCTGGACTGGTGGCTGGCCCAGGCTTCCGGTGGGGGCCAGGTGTTCATCCTGAGCATCCTCTTCTTCTGCCTCCTGCTCCCGACGGCTGTGATTGTCTTCTCGTACGTGAAGATCATCGCCAAGGTGAAGTCGTCGTCCAAAGAGGTAGCTCATTTCGACAGTCGGATTCATAGCAGCCATGTGCTGGAGGTGAAGCTGACCAAGGTAACTGCAATCACTTGACAGATGAGAAGGCAAAGGTCAGAGGGTGAGAGGGATGGGGACGGCTGGGACCAGGAAAACTTAGAATCCCTATTGATTGTCTGTGTGCTTTTGAACTTTGTTAGGCCTTACCTAAGCCACTGAAGTCTCCCTGTTCTGTTCCTGACTCACACCACACAAATATCTACTAAATTAGTATATCAGTGGGGGCTTATTTTCTCTAATATACATCTATCTATCTATCTATCTCTAGATACATTTATAGAAATCATGACATATGATATTTTAGAGCTCGTACCATTTTGCTGGACTCTGGAGGGCCTTTTAAGGACTTCCTACTGTCCACACTGTCTACTGCAGAAGCTTATCACAGATTGCTCCTGAAATGGTTGGCTATTTTGGTAAAGGTGAGAGAATACAATTGGTGGGTCTTTACATGAAAAGGTAAAGGAAAAAGAACAGGGAATTTGACAACGGATAAGGGTTTGAATTTCATCACAACCATCCCCCTGTTTGTAACCTAGCACTAGACACCTAGTTTCTCTTTAGAATTAATTAATTGATTGGTTAATTTTTACAGATAATTAAAATATAAATTACATTACTTCTTCCCTTCCTTCCTTCATGTCCCCTCTTACTCTCAAGTTGATAGTCTTCCTTTCCTTGAGAATTATTGTTGTTACACACACACACACACACACACACACACACACACACAAATGCATACACACATATTCAAATGAATAAAAACAACTTGTTGAGTCCATCTTTGTTCTTTAACACCCAGCTCCTTTGGAGTCCATTTTCTCACTGTGTAACAAGAATAGTATCATCTGGGTCTGGAGGGATGGCTCGGCAGTTAGGAACACTGTTTCTGCAGGGGAACCAGGTTTGACCTTCAGCACCCACACGGCAGCCTACAACTCACCTGACACCCTCTTCTGCCTCCTCAGGTCTCATACATGCTCAAGCTGAGCATACATGAAGGCAAACACCCACACACATAACATGAAAATAAACCTAGAAAGGAAAGCATTGGACCTCCCTGATATCTGTCATACACTGACCCCAATTCCAACCGATTTTCACTGAGGGAAGAAGAAGCAAGCTCCCAGGGCCCTTCATCTGTCCTCCCGTTCCTTCAGCCCCTGCTCAGGATTGCTCAGCTTCTCACTTATTCAGAGTTTCCATTCACCACAATGATCTAGAAGTGTGTAACTTCAAGGCTGTCAGCCAAGATTTTAGCATCAAAATAAGTTTAATTAAGTACTTCTAGCTGGGTTGTTATCTTGATCTGGCCTCTTTTGGTCTAATTTCATCTAGAAAACTTGAAATGACATCTGTCTACAAACCTGTCAGCTTCTCTAGTTATTCTTTTGATGATGGTTTCTCCAACTTCCACAGACTACCAACAGAAGTATAGTGTGTACTTGTGTAAACATATGTGTATTGTTCACACAAATGCACAATCTGTATTCACTCTCTGGTTCGGTGGCTCAACATAACTTCACCTTGCTGTCTACATTCGACCTTGTGAAGCACGTTTCATGATTGGCCAATAAGGGTAAGTTCAGTAGCACCGAGTCTCCCCATCTGTACTCAAAGCTGCCCGTCAAGCCTGCGGAGGTCTTTAAAGTATCACGGTCCCAGTTGGTTGGAGATCCAGCCAGGTTTTTGTTGTTCATTGGCCTGACTTTGTTGAGTTATCTAATTCCTTCTCTTCTTGCTCTGTAGCATGTTCTTTATCCTAATCCCAAGGCGTCTGTAAGCAGTGTCTCAACTCTGCTTCCCTCTCCTCTGTAACCCATACTGTGGATACTTTGGACGTGGCTAAAACCTTGATAAGGAAGGCATATGTTCCCACCTCCTCACACACACACAAAGGGCCCTGAGGCTTTTCTCTGTAGCCCTGATCTGGGGCATCCAGCTCAGAAAGGCCAGTTCAGGACTTGCTCTCACCTCTTCTGAGGTCCTTTCTTGTCTCTGGACTATAGACATTTCACCTATTGGGGTAGAAAACTGGCTTATATTTTCTTGTGCATTCTCAACATCACGTAAGCCCCTGGCTGTGGACACTCAATGTTTTTTTCAGCATAAAAAGATGAAAAGCCTTTATTCTCAACTATTTTTTTCCCTCATGTAGGTTTCAAGTTTCCTCCCTTCCACCTTCCATCACTCCCTCCCTCCCTTCCTTCTTCACTCTCTCATGTGGCCCAGGCTGCCCTTAAAGTCACCATGTAGCTGAGGCTGGCCTTGAACTCCCAATCCTTCTGTCTCCACCTCCAAGGTACTGGAATTATAGCCATACTCTATCATGTCCAACTAACTTAAAATTGTATTTTGTTACTGAGATGCCAAAAAACGATTGTTTAGTTGTTGCACAGGGCAAATATTTCTGCTGGTAAAATTATTTACCCAGTGTGTTGAACTTCTTGTGGCTCTTCTGACAAGGGGAAAGTGTTGTGGCTGGAAGACAATGTCAGAAAGATCACATGAGTTTTTCAAACATGATTGTGCCAAATACCTTGGCACTCTGGATTTGTTCTTTAACGTACACTGATCATCTATTCTGTCCAGACCCGTAGTTAATCCACACCCTGGATTTCTCCTTCCACCCCTTTCACTATCATTAAACACCCATCCTCAACTGTCTCTAGAGAGTTTAAGTTCCCTGCTATAGGGTTCCAGGGCATTTGGTATGTTGCCTTTAGTGGCACCTGTCATACTGAGCCAAATATTTATCTCTCTTTCTTTGTAGAAGAATGAACGAGGTACAGACAAGCGTTGCAGTCTGTTAGTTCTGCATTCTGCAGTCAGGCGCTTGCTAGATGGTAACCGTGATGCTTCCATTGAATATATCATTAAGGCGACCTAATTATCCTGCTAACTTTGACTCTTGGCTTGTGCAGCTCTTTCTTTGGGACTTTTCACTTTATTCTTTCCCTTTTCTTGAGAAGCCTTAAAAACAAAGCAAAACAAGAAAAACAAAACAAAAGACAAAAACAAAAACAAAAAAAACCCCCAAAAACCCAAGCTGTGAACTCAGTTTTTCTCAGGTGGCTTGTTTCCTGGTTTTACCAATTGATTATTACCTGTCAGTGAGGTATCGGGTTCAGGGGACTCCCTATGTGAATGCCAAGGGCAGTTAGTAGAAGCACTTGCTCTTTTTAAAACCAATTAGTTCCTTGTCTTTGTTCTCTTTAGCTTTCCCAAGCTTAAAGGCCACTTCTCAGAGAAGGGTTTTAAAAATGGAATTCAAGTCTTCCTGTCAGAATCATTCTGAACTATGATTACTTCATGGGAATTGCCAAATTTTCAATTAATTTGCAATTGCAAACTCCTCTTGTGGTTGTGTGTTCGATGCCCGTCTTTACTGCCAGCCGACGGGGCCTGCAGGGAAAGCACCTCCTTCCACCACTTCCTGTCCCCAGAACCCAGCACACCACCTCTAGCACACTAAGTGGTTAATAAATATTTGCTGAAGGAGAGAAAAACTAGGCCAGAGAGACATAATAACAAAAAAGAATTTCAAAGTCGTTGTTATTTTCAATTTTACCACTTGGCCCGTGAGAGGAGACACACTGTTAATATTTGTTATTGATTTTGGTCATCGGTATTTGAATCCTGTTCTGAGAAATCATCAACGTTTTTAATTGTTTTGGAGGAGCAGGCGTGAGAGCCTTGTATGTGACTCAAAAGTGCAGAAAAAGCCAAGAGCTATCCTGTCACCTGCCACCCTCATGTGTATCAGGGTGTGGTAAGGGCAGACCCAGGGCCAGAGTCCTCCTCACCCAAGGCGGTGTTCTAATCAGAACCACTCGGTGGCTGGAGCCTGAGTGCTTCCCCTTCCTGAGTCTCAGGGCCAGGTTCCGGCCCAGATCTACACCTTTTGGTAAAAGTTCTGCTCCACTCAGCAGAACCCAGTGCTGTAACCTACAACCCAGACTCCGGGCTGACCCACCTCGGGCAAACCATTCAATGCGCAAGACCTTAGCTTTTCTCATCTGTGTATGGGTGTGGGACAGAGAGGGGAGGACCAGAAAGTCAAATGACATCATCATTGACTTCAAAACTCTGAGATTCTGCCCATCCGGTTATACACGTTGGCTCATTTCAAGGCCTGTTGCGGTTGGTGACAAAAGTGTTACTAGTTGGTCCTGTAGCTATTTGTCTTCCCGTCGGCAACAGTGTCCAATCTAAGGACCTTGGCTCACCTATAATGACCACATCTCCACCATGTCCCTCCCTCTGTTGATCAGGCCCTTACAAACTATCTTGCATTCATTAGGTCAGGCCACGGCTTAGTCTGGGGACATCACCTTCAGTTTTAGACTTAAACTCCCTAACACAGATGGGCAAGAGGAGGAGTGACCTAATTTGTCTCCTCTCTTTCAGTCTTGGGTTTTGCTTGTTTTTAGAGTAGCGGTATTTTTAAGGTTTGAAAAAAATTGCAGCTGGAATGTGTGGATTTTTTTTTTTTTTGCATGAGCTCATATTTTCTGCTTGGATCGCAGCCAGGGCTAACAGATGGCAGGCACCCCAAAGACTCCAGAGAAGTTTCTTTGCAAGTTTGTGGAAGAGGGTGTGAGACAGTTGACCTCAGTTGTCTCTCTGTGGGTAAACAAAGGGAGCTCAAAGCAGACCTGGTAGGTTGTTGGATGACCTGAGCCCCTAGAAGGTGGCCTGAGAACACAGGCATCCTTGCTCTTGGTTTATACATGTGATAGGGAACTGAGGTACAAAAGCTATGTCAGCAGTCAGGGTCCCCACCTTTCTATTCATTCCCCCCTTTCCCTTCATCTTCCCTCTCTACTTTTTACTTTTTTTTCCATCAAGAATATAGTCTATAGTATAGGCTGGACTGGAACTCATTCTGAAACCAATATTGGCCTTGAACTCATGGTCATCCTCCTGCCTCTGCCTCCTGAGTGCTAGCATGCCTCCATACTGGCTTTTTACTCTTCTGCATTTTGGTAATATCACTTAGTGACAGGCGTACTCACACATGGGAGGCAGCTGTCCCAGAAATGGCATTACTATCTTTTAATCTAATTTTAATCTCATTTTCATTGGTTGTGAGCAGATCTATGTACTTGCTAGTATATCTATGATAATATATCTTGGTCTTTTCATCCATCCCATACATAGGTCAATCACACAGTGTCCTGCAGTGGGCAGAAGCCTCTACTACCCTTCCCTTGGCATACTGATTTCACCCAGCCACCAAACTCGCATTACTATCCCTTTCTTGGTGATGTAACTCAAACATGGATGGAGGGTTCACTCTGTCTCCTTGCCCTCCTTCATGCTTTTCCTTTCCCATCAATCCTATGGCCTCTGCCCATCGATTTCATTATTCAGTGAAGTGTGCAACTGAAGCCTGACTCAGATCTGGGCAGAGGAGCTTGGTGGGAGGAACTGGACTCCTGAAATGGCTGTGCATAGGGCAGCAGAGTTTCGTTCTTTTGAGAGACAGTGGGGCTAAACTAGAATTGGGACCATGGAGAGACACAGTATCTCACAGCCAAAGACGCCACATCCTTCTACCATGTCCCTCACACTGAGAGGAGGGAGCCGGACTCCTTGGAACGGTCGCCTGCTCTGATGATTCAGAGTCAAGGACAGCTTCAAACATTTAAGCTCAGCCCCATCACCTCTTGACAATGCTAACTAGCTAGTTAACTCAGTGGAACTGAACACATGTGGGCAAGGTTCCTTTGTAATACTTCCTGCCGCCCTGAACCAGAGCTGGGGAATACTGGCATCCTTGGGTCTTTTGCAGCAAGACTTATTTAAAATGAACTGAGCTGCAGATGTGTGATTCTTTTGTACAAGCTAAACATGAATTCTGTGAATTGCCTCCCACAAAACTGTCTAATTTAAGAACCAGAGCTTTTAGTGCTTTGTCAGTGAACCAAGAAATAGCGATGGGGATGAAGTCATTAAAAAATAAACAGCCTAGGAAGGGCGACGGGTGTTGGGGACACCTGGGGAGTGAATGTCTGGAAACTGAAGCCAGATTGAGTTGGGAAAAATAAGGAATGAACTCAGGAAAAGTTGAAGCCCAGTCCAACCTCTGGGAAAATGTCAGAAAGTGCGTGACAGAAGCTTAAACATTAATTTTGTTTATCCCCCTTTGGTGTGTTTTTGTGAGCGCCCATGTTTGTCACATTGCATGGATGTCAAAAGACAGCTTTCAGGAATGGCTTCTTTCCTTCTCCCACTTGAGTTCCTGGGACCAAACCCAGGTTGTCTGGCTCGGTGGCAGGCACCTTTACTCTGGGACTTATTTCGCTGGCTCAGATTTACTACCTGAATGATTGACATTCTGTGCAATATAATCTAGAATGAGGCCAAAGGAAACGGATGTGCCTGGCTTTGACTTTTCATCCACGCACACATGCCTTTTTCTCCACACCTCTCACCCTTCCCTCTTCTTTTTGTTTTAGAATTCTATTGGTTGTGTTTTATTCTGAAGCCAGAAGCTCCACAGTACTTAATTGACTGTGTTAACAAAACAAAACAACACAGTGTATCCAAGTCTTCTGCATCTTTTAAGAAAAGAAAACAGCACGAATTTATAAACCTTCCCTGTTCCTATTGAATTCCCATAAAAGTAGAAAATAGTATGGGATTTGTGCTAACCTATTTTTTGTCAATGGCTTTGGCAGTGGAACAGACAATGGCTTTCAAGATGGCATAAGATCATCCTATGACTCACCCTAGAATCAAAGATGGGGCTTTATAGCTGCTAACACAAGCTTTATTTTTGTAGCTAGTGTTTATTTGGGAATTTAGGAGAAAAGGGGCCTAACTGGGCACCTTGGGGCATCCTCTCTTTAGAAACAAAAGTCACACTAAACCAAAGAGAAAGGACTTCTGGGTAAGTTTCTTTGGGATGATGGAAAAGCAAGCTCAGAGAGAGAAAGAGAGAGAGAGAGAGAGAGAGAGAGAGAGAGAGAGAGAGAGAGGGTGTGTGCTTAGTCAGACTGAGTTATAAGTGCTGGGCATGGAAGAGAAAAAAATCTAGCTTAAGAGGTTGAAGCATGGTTGCAGGGCCTTCGACCGAGTCCTGGTTCCTTTGGTTCATCTATAGAGGATTCTCGTTCTCTGTAGAATGGACCAAACTGGGCATTGCTGAGGAGTTTCTTGCCTGCCATTAGTGTTGAAGATAAGTTTTGAAATTTCTTTTTTGAAGATTTATTATTTTTAAATCATGTGTATGTGTGTATATCTGTGTGTGGATATGTGCAGGTGAGCACAGGCACCCCCCGCGGCCACAGGAGGCACTGAATTCTCTGGAGCTGGACTGACAAGTGGTTTGACAAGTGGTTGTGAGGGCTGGGAACTGAACTTGAGTTCTTTGAAAGTACAGGCTGCTCTCTTTAACCCGTGATCCTGTCTCTGTCTCTTGAGCCTCCTGAGCCTTGAAATTCTTGAGTGAAATATTCTAAATTCTGCAACCCCAGAATTTAGAATGTATTTTCCAATCTCTCTCTCCTCTCTCCCTCTGTCCCTCTGTCCCTCTGTCCCTCTGTCCCTCTGTCCCTCTGTCCCTCTGTCCCTCT